GTATAATTTCCAAAATTTGTTGTCTGTGGGAATTGAACCTTAGACCTGCCACTTGAGGGTTGACAACCTATCCACTTCACTAGGTCGCCACACTCTATAGTTATTTTTGTAGATTAACAATATAAATATTAATATTTAATTATTGACTTTTATATATATCAACATATTTTAATTTTTAATTGCACAAGGAATTGTATAAAATTGTAATATGCTAATATTTACCAAATTTTTTGCTATAAATAAAGCATGTACTTAGAAATATAGTCTCCAAAAAATCTTAATTATGGTTAAAACTTTTCTAAGCCCCAATTTGCTATAGAAGAACCTATATATTAGGGTTTCAGTCCTATTTTCATTTTTGACAAGCAATCCAGATTCTATTAAATCTGAATTGAATCTGCATAAGATTACATATCAAGCTAGCTTTGTAGCATATCTTTAGGTTTGTTATTTAAGTTCTTGACCAATTCGAGTAAAAATCTCTAATCTGGATATCTAAATTTATTTAGATTTAGAGATCAATTTGAATAGTTGAATTAAGGATTGAAACTCTATTATGTGTGTGCAAGTGTATAATTAGTCTTGATATAATAGTCAAAAATATTATTTAATTTATTAATTTTTATTTATTTAATTATTATATGTTTATATAACAGAAAACAATATAATTCCTAGTATAAATAATTTCAAAGATAGTTATTGTTTCAAAGAAATCATGATCAAAGCGAACAATCTATTTATTTTATAAAGTTTTAGTATATGTCTTTTAGTTATGAATATTTTTCAAAGAAATCACAATTAAGAGCAAGAAAATATAGCTATTCTATAATTATAGCTATTGTTATACTGATTTTTTATTATTTCTTTAATATTGTCTAATCCTGTCAATAGTCCAACCTGAAGAGACCTTACTGAGTTCATTAAGTGTTATAAAAATTTTAACAAGTGATAATGATTTTTCATGTTCAAGTAGTAGAGAAAGTATATTTTTTTCTTTTTCTGTAGTTGTTCATCGTTTTTGCCTTTTATTACTATCTGTATCTGGAATGTGTGTAAGAAAAGAAGTTTTAAAAGACTGTTATGTTAATAGAGATAATGAAATTTTCTCTATTATTGTTATAGTTTTAGATTTATTTCTTTTTTTTTTGGATTTATTTGCTTGTTTTCTTATTTGTTCAAATTCAGCAGATGTGTATTGGTCTATATCTTGAGCACCATGTCCAGAAGCTACATGTTGCTCTGTTTTATACATGTCTTGCCCAAGTATTGCTTCAAGATGTGATTTTTCTGACTCATAGCAGGCAAGAATTTTTTTAAAACCTTCTTCATTAATTCTTGGCATACTTTTAAATAACTTATATTTATCTTAGGCTTTAAATTCAGATATTAATTTTGTAACTAATAACCAAAGAGAGTCTTTACAAAATTGGATTGAATGTGCATTTTGATTTACCACTACATCATTGATATATTCTGCAAAAAGCATTAACAAATGATCTCTTTCACATTGTGCTGCTTTAATTTTTTGCATCATAGTTTTCTAATCTGTAAGATTTCCAAAAATATATTGTTTGATGAATTTTATACTGTATGTTTCAAGTCCTTTATTAAAAGCAAGATAGTGTTCTTCATGTATGATATGTACTGAATATACTGTTTCAAGTAATTTTTGAAATTGTGGATCATTATGAACTTGTGCCAAAAAATGCACAACTGAACTTGCATATTTGAATTTATTAGCTATTAGAAAAATAGATACAAAGGCAGCTAAATTGGCTATTTGCATTTGGTAGTTTTCTTTCCTAATTCTGATTTTGGGTTCAATAAAATATCTAATCTAACAAAAAAAAAGATACCATACTTTCATTAAATTATTATTCCCTTTTAAGATATCACATATCGAGTTTCTTTTGCCTTTCACACACTAATATAAAGCAATTTCAACTGCAATTCAGATCATTTCTAGAACTTGATATGTTGTTTAGTTATCTATAACATATTTAAATTTATCTAAATATTGTACACCAAGAGTAGCTGCTAGATTAAAAATTTCATATCCCAAAAATATCATAATTAATATGCTACATATGTTCTTGGATGTATGCCATTGTTCTAAAATAAGTCAAGCCTCTGAATGTTTCTCTTTATAGAAAATCAATCTTCCAAAAATTGCTTGATCACATGCAATATAAAGATGGTCATCATTGCCAATAGATAAATCTTTATGGTACATTTCATATGAATTATGAACATTAATATCACAATTCGGTGAATCGCCAAGTTCTAAGATTATAACATTTACTAGAATATAACAACCTAAAGATATTTGTTTTATAATTTCTAAATGTACATCTTCTATTTCTAATTCATTCTTATTTTTCTCTAATGTTGTATTTAAAACAGTTTTGTATAACATCAGAAGATTACTAGTAATTGTAAACTCTCCAAATAATGAATAATTAATAATTTCATTATCAGTTATATTTTTAAGTACTGTAGGAAGGGTAAATTGAAACATCATTCACAGTGTTGCATAAGAGGTTTGGTGTACAACATCAAAAATATTATCTGTTACAAAGGTAGAGGCTTTAAAATCAATATTGTCGATGACTGCTATATTTCAGATATTTGGTCCTTTAATTAGCCTTTCTAAAGGATTTGTATCAAACATTTAGGCTTTGTTAAGCTGATTTTTATGTCATTTTGTGTAAGATAAAACATTTGCTGAATGAAGAATCTTATGTAAGTTTGAAAATAGGTTTGGATTCTGACATAACAATGATATAATATGTGTAAGCCAGATTTATGTTCCAGGAAAAGCCATTGTTAACAACATGGAGGTAAAAAAGGTAGTGACTTTTGTTACATGACTTATATTAAGTGATTTTAGAGAAAGTTCATATTGGTTCCTCTACTTGTTAGTAACTGATAATTTTTTTTGTTGTATTGCTATAATTAGAGCTTGAAAGAAGTTGCGAATAATATTTGGCAATATGTTGAAATACTCATTATATGAACCTGGATTTTCTAATTGATTTCTTTTTAGTTGGATCTCTGAACACAGAGATAAAATCTCTTTTTGCATATTTTCACCTATAATTGTTGCCTTTTCTGAAGTAATCTTTGAGTATTTTTCTATTAATTTATTAGAGTCAATTTTTGCTATTTTTATTGCAGTTTTAACGAGAAGACTACTAGGAAGATGCACTTGTGTACTTCACTATCTTCATTATTGTTATTTAATAATCAAAGAGATGGTGCCAAGGATAATAAAAGTTTATTTTTTAGTTTTTGGTTATGTGATTCTTCTACTGAGATTATCCATCTTTCAATATCTATTAGAGCATCACTTGTATCATTTTGGTGTCTTCCAAGTTCAGTATACAACATTATAGAATTACCTCTATGTGGCTTTTTATATAAATGTCTGCCTTGTTTTTAAAAACATTGTGAATATATATAATAAGCACAATATCCTGAAGATGATTTATTCATAATAGGTCTCACAGTAAGTGTTAGATATTTAAAAATTCCAATGCAAAATACTTGAACATTATTTTCATTGATTTTCCATGAATACTCTTTACAGCTACTGCTATGACTAAAAAAGCATACTTTTTTATGATAGAAAATGCAAAAGTAAAAATGGACCTTTGCCTTTTCAATCGAACATGATTGTTTTGCACCACTACTATGAAGTTGGTTTTGATCAAAAGCAAAGTGAGAAAGACATACTCCAAGTTGCATAAAGTTATCTTTAATACTTTTGGCTGCATTCATATTGATTTATTACATTTCTATTATTTGCCTTAATTGTCTTAAGTTTGCAGCACTATTACAATGTTTTATTTTACTATTGGTAATATTGATAATAATGCATGGTGTTAACTTATGATTCTGGGTAGATGGTTGTTCAACTTCAACATCATTATTATCATCATTATCATCATCAGTATTTTCATTGTCATAATTGATATTTTCATTACCTTCATTAATGTTTTCATCACTATTTTCATAATTATTATCTTTTTTATAGTTATAATTATCATTACTTTTATCAAGTAAGAACTGAGCATTTGCAAAAGCCTCTGCAAGAGCAACATCATCAACAGTAAAACCATCTTGGCTATTTTGTTCAAAAGTAACAGTGAAACCATCTTGGCTATTTTCTTCGGAAATAACAGTGAAGTCATTTTGGCTATTTTCTTTGGAAGCAACAATAAAACTATTTTTGTTATTTTCTTCAGAATTAATGCATTTCTCAAAATCTTGATTAGTAAATTCAGATTCACTCATTTTGTCAAGGTTTTATTGTTAAAAAATCTATTATAGATTATGAATATGATTTATTTTAAGTTAGAGACTAGATTGCTATATATAATGAATCAAATAGTCTTAGAAAGTATATATAATATTTTGATGAATATAAATGATATTTGTTATATTAAATATATTAATAATTTATTTTAAATTTATGCTGAAGGATTAATTCTACATATGCAAGTTTATTAATTACTTGGAAAATTTTATTATTATTAATTTTCATTTAAAGATAAAAAAATATTTTACTTCTATTTAGATTTAAGAATAATAAAATGATGCAGTAATTAATTGATTAATGTAGAAGAATTAGATAATTGTATTTAAGTTGTCTTCAGTTTTGAATTGCCAACTAACTTATATTTATTGGTTTATTAGACAGATCAAGTCTGAGAAAAAATTTAATTAAAGCAAAAGTTGAGGGTTTAAATACAAGAAAGAATTTCTGCAGCATCTAACTTCTAGACAGAACAACTTTTCTTTTTGCTTTACATAATGAATGACTCAATAATAACAATATAAGAACAATATTTAGCTATTGAGAGAAAATTGAAAATTTCCTTTTTCATATATTTTATAATCAAGCTACCATACTATTTTCATTTTTAGCCAAACCATATCTAAGAATCCCTCTACTAATTACATATACCATAATAGGAAATAACAGTAATTGATCTATTATATATTATCTTGTTATTGAGAAATTTCCTTTTTCTTATATCCTATAACCAAGCTACCCTGTTATCTTTATCTTTAGCCAAATGTATTTAAGAATCCTTTTACTAATTACATACATCATAATAGAAAATAACAGTAATTAACCTATCGTATACTAAAAGAGAATAGCATAAATCTGTCAATTACTATGCTATCTAGTCATTGAGAAATTTTCTTTTATTTATTTCCTATAACTAAGCTATCCTGTTATATTTATCTTTAGCCAAATGTATTTAAGAATCTTTTCACTAATTACATACACCAAAATAGGAAATAATGGTAATTGACCTATTATATACTAAAAAGGGAATAGCATGGATCTGTTAATCACTATGTTTAAATGTTTTCCTGATATACAATGATTCTAATCTTGATTTGGTGAACAATGATTTAAATGTGAATACAATAGTAATAAAAATGATAATTAAAATAATAAGAGTAATAAAAAAAATAATAACAACAAACAGAAGTATAAGAAAATAATGCAGCAAAAAACTTTAATACTAACAATGTGTATAGTCATGTTTTCTTATTTATTTTGCTTTTTTATATATAGATCATACTAATTAATTTTGTTAAAAATTTGTGTTAATATTTTAGTCATTCATTTTTAGTAAATAGATTATATTTATTAAAATTACTAATTATATTAGTTTTATGATTTCAGGTTTCTCAAATCAGCATTTACACCTCAAATCCAGAATATTACTACTATAAAGTCACAAAATAATTCTTACAATATTTCAAAAATTGTATCTTGGGGGTGTAGCAACCTAGTGAAGTGAATAGGTTGTCAACCCCCAAGTGGCAGGTCTAGAGTTCAAATCCCAGTGATGATGAAAATTTGCAATTCTTTCTGTAT